AATGCTGTGTGTTGAATTATAACCAGTGCGTATGAAAGCCTTTACATTTTGTTATTACAGTTATGTCTAAGAACGTTTGCTCGCTTGATAGACCAAACCGTGCAAGGTAATTCTAATTCTATTTATTGTCCCAGTTGCAGCACTACTTTACGTTAAAAATGCCATACGTGTACTCCATGCTTTTTAGGTGAACAGAAAATAGCTTTCTTGAGTATTAAACTTCAATTATTCGACTATTTTATACATACAGTCAAATTCAAATGTAAATGAATTGTGATTAAATGAAAAGTGATTGCAATATTTTAATTATTCATTTTAGTTAATCACTTATATTGTAATAAATTGTTATGAATGCATCGTTCAAAGCAAACAGTCATGAAATACAATTATAGAACAATTATGTTATTCAATAATGTGTATCTCAGCGAATTCTCAATCTTTAATTATTGCTTGAATAATGCCTTTTATACTTTTTTACATAACAAATTCTCCAATCTTTACTATTACAATTATAATTGTAAAATAGTGAAGAATTGCAGCGAATTACAAATGACAAAATTTATTAAGAATTAGGAAAATTACTTCAGTAGAATTTTAAATTATATACTTGATCTAATATGTTTAGATATTCAAATGATGCTTATTTCAATTTTAAAGAATTTTAAATCATATACTTGATCGAATATGTTTAGGTATTCAAATGATGCTTATTTTAATTTTAAAGAATTTTAAATTATATACTTGATCGAATATGTTTAGGTATTACTTAGCTGGAGTACGATTATGGCAAAGAAATATAATACTTGGGAACACAGATAGTTTGCGGAGGAAGACAAAAATATGTTACATACATATATACTGTGTACTTACAACTATCATATAGATAACTTATTTACAACACAAATATACTACATAGAATTTAATTGGTTAGTAAGGTTGGTGGAACAAATATGAGCCACTCAAAAGCCAAAGTGACTAACTCCAACAAATTAAGTTTATTAAATTGTTTTTATTTATCAAGAATTAAGCACCAAACCTGTGCTTCGATACTAAAATTGGAAGAATTTCGAAAAATGGAGTTAATCATTTTAGCTTCTAAGTGGTTCATATAGCGAGGGCGTAAATTAAAGCACAAAATGGCTGCAGTCAGTACTTCATACGGCATTCTGTTTTAGGGATCCGCACAATAAAGGGATGACAAATGATAAACTATCACACAAATTAAAAATTAATCTTTTCATATTTTTGTCAATTCCCTTCTTAGAACACTTGCAACATGCTTTCTTCGATTCCTGACCGATTTTACGAACTCGCTATATTTCTTCCACCGACTATACATATACATAGTATGCAGCAGATCCATAGAATACGACTTAGGAATTTAACGTTCCCACTTTTTTCTTCATAACTCTTTTCCACTCTTTTCTATTCATAACTTTGAATAATTTAATAAAATATAAAACTTAATGTGAAAAATATTTTACACATAAAGTATGTTATGGTATGAATACTATCATATGCAGCCAATTTCGAATACGTTTGATATTAATCGTCTAAGGACGTCTAATATACAAATTTAGCATTCTATACAATATGCTCCGTTTACATTGAATCATAAATAATGTATATTCGTAAATAAATTAACGAATATTTCTACAGTTATTCTCCGCACACAGAACATTTACAATGTGAATTTCCTTCTGTAGAACATTTTGCAACTACTTATTCCACAATAGTAAAAGATTCTATTAAATAAAAATGTTGCAAATATATTTTGTAATACTTTTAGAAATTTTTTAAATGCTCCAACAATATTAAGCTGATAAATAAAAAAATTCATTTGATTTTTATAAATGAAAAAATTAACTAAGATTAAGAAATATTAGTTTCGTTTAAAGTCCTGTGAAAAAGCATTTGAAAAATCTTTATCAAACTCAAAGTGCTCCTTCTGTAGTGCTTACAAGATATTCTGAAGATGAGGAAATTCATGGTTATCATTATCACAAATAATACAGAATCTTTCGTATGAGCATTTGAAAAATCACTTAAGAATCGTTTCGTCTAGTAAGAAGCCACGAAGTACTTTCTATAATTCGCTTAACAATACAAAAAGTATGAAAGAATCTGCAGTATTCTTCTCACGATTACACTTAACGTTCCTTGTAGCGAAACACTTGTGCATTGCTTGAAACACGATCGAACACAACAGCGTTCAGAATAATTCATTTCTCGTATTGCAGTCGATATTAACTTCGATATCTACATTAACACTATGCATATTCAACATAAATACATGGTATAACATCACTTAGTGTTACTAGCTGTTAGCTAAATGAAAAAATTCTGTCGATTTCTTATCATTAAGTTATATATCGTCCTTTGGAGATGGCACACAGACGTTTTGTGAACGTCTTAAAGACGTCGAGGAGAAATCTACAGATGTCCAAAAGACGTCCAGTGTTACAAATCAAGATATCTTTATTTAGGACGCAAAAACGTCCTAAAAATGGCTAGAAAATGTCCTAGGAAACATCTTAGAAACGTCTTGAAGACGTCCGTATCAGGTCGTGAAACCAAAAATAGACACAAAATGGACATTTCTGAGACGTCACGTGCTATCTGAGTTATGTGATTGTCGGAACAATTAACAACCGAAAACGATACAGAGTAAGATACGATTTATCAGATATCGGTCTAAAAATGTCGACAGAATTTCAACAGATGGCGAATACCTTTAATAGGAGAGCACGTATGCCGATAATTGCGCAACATTATTGCGAAGCTATACGTTTACACGGTGTCTCTTCTACACGGTAACTGATCTACAGAATATTAGCTATGCATCGGGAATGAAGCACAAATACTAGGTTTACAGTGCATTATACATTCCTAGCGTGAAACGACACTTCGAGAACGATCTTTGGCTTGTTACTTTCATAGAATTTGTCTAACAGAATAATTTTCAGGAGGAAGTACTTGTAAACAATTCACCGATGTACTTTATTTTCACTTCTACGAGAGAATTCTGTGTTAATTATTGAAAAATATCTCTGTCTTAACGCCAAATCTAAATTTCCAATTACGATAATTTATAATTTTTTTACAGACACTAAAGTATTGCTTTTCCTTAACACACGCGAAAACTAAAGATTCAGTTTTATCCTTCGTAGCTGTAAGTGTCTTACAAGGCAAAATTATCTTCTTAGAAAGTGGTTAATCGTTTGTTCGAATTTTTACGGAATAAACAATTCAGTACTGACCTCTAAATAATGTTCATTTAACGTTTGAAATAATTGGACGTTAAATTAAGAAATACGTTAGACAAGTCCGTATGTTTCAATTGTGCGCTCGTTCCTCGAAGTTCACTAAAACGGGAAACAGGTAGGAGCTAGGATTGATTACAGGTTGCAGGTGTCAAGGATCTGCAACCACGAGCTATCTGAGCCCGCCATCACTTAGAAACCGATTGCTCCGCAAGGACCTCGTCCGCTCTGAGCTTTATCTCTTTCCAGGAGCTTTGGATGTCCTTACTCTCGCTGAATCGCGAGCAAATTGCGAACCGCAGGAAGTACATGTCGTTTATCTTGGATGGGACCAAGTGAATATTTCCGGCACCGTTGATTTTCTTCAATAGAGTCTCGTTTAAGTCGTTCGATCCCTGTGAACGATACCACGTGGCCGTTAAAGCGATTTATTTGACATTTTTGCCATTAGTCGGGGAAAGTATGTGCAAGATGTAGAGAAATAAGAATGTTTCTTGAGTGTATTAGTAAGTAGTAAGTAATTAAAAATAATGAAATTGACAGTGGTTTACCTTTAGTCGAAAACAAACCAGTCCTAATATCACTTGTGCGATAATTTCAAATCGTGGATCTGAGAGAACCAGCGTTTCGAATTCGTGAGCTTGATTCACGTGAGATCTGATAAATTTCTGAAGATTTTCCACGCCATAGATCCTTAAGACGAACCAGAGTTTCAATGCTCTAAATCTTCGTCCTAATGGAATTTGCCAGTGCTGTATAAAAGAAGAACATTCGTTGAATTTTTTACTTTGCAAAAATCATTTTTAGTTTCGAATAATAATTAAATAATTAACTAATTATGATATCTCATATATTAACGACGTTTTGGCGTAAGAAGTTTAATAATTTTTTATAGGGAACGATGAGCTGCATTGATTAACGTATTAAGAAGCATATACAGTAAATTCTCTCCAAGTGTCAGTCAGTTTGAATTCTACAAGTGTCAGTATAGATGGTCCTACGCCATAGGCTGCGCCTATGTTATCTCGCTCGCTGTCGGTCAAGCGTGTAACGCTACACCACTCGGTTTCTTTTACGAGATTTCACGGCTCGACAATTCATAATAGAAAAATATAATTTCTTTAATTTTACTTTTTTTCATCTGAAATTTGTTT